CCCACACTTCTCTGCACTGCTCATCTCCATGGAGACCTGCTCCTCTGAGGATGCACGCAGAGGTGGGGGGCAGCCAGGTGTGCTTGCAGGAGAGCTGTGGAGTGGCCGGTGATGTGGCTAACATGGGTGAGACAAGCCCAGGAAGGAAAGAGAGCAGACGTGCTAAAGGGTGGTGCACACCTCCTCAGACCCACAATTTACAAACTAGGGGACACCTGAGAGCTGCTGCAACAGCCCCCAGATGACCACAGCCACCTAAGTGCCTTTGTCCTCTGGTTCTTCCCTGCAGGAAGACAGGTCCATGTTCATCCCTCATTTCTCCCCTGAACAGAATGGGAAATGATGTGAAAGTAGGAAGATTTGCCAACTGGGAGGGGTTTATAGGAGCTTACAAAACAAAGACACCTTCTCAGATAGATAGCCATGAGGAGTGAATTGCCCCTGAGAGTAATATCTGCACCTGCCTTCCCCCCGTTAAGTGTCCTGTCTTCTGAATGCAGTTGTTGTCATTTCTAGGGATGCATGCCTGAAACTCCCCCAAGTCTCCTCTCCTCACTGAGACATTTAATTTAACCTGCAATTACTACTACTAATAGCTGCCATTTGTGCCTGTGGAATTGTGAAATCCACACTGTGGCTGAGTAGGAAGGAGGCAATGTTATCATTCTACCGTCTGTAATTCTGAATAGAGACCACTGTGTCACACAGCAGCAGGACCTGTTTTCTGCTGATGGAGACTTAACTGCCCTTAAAAAATCCTTGCGTTTTATTCCAGATTGCTTCTCACTGTCCTTCTGATCTTGTTATTGTTTCTAGCTGGCATCACAGCTATTATGGGAAAGCCGCAAATTGTTTTGTGTCCTTAATAAAACTCAAAATTGTAGTTTGAAAGCAATTTAAATCTATGTGTCCTTCTGTATTTATGTGTAGAGATTTCTCATGTAGAATATGTATAAAGCTCCTACAAACTTTTTTTTGCCAGAGCTGTGAACACCTGCAAAACATCTCCTCGATGCTGATGGGGAGTCATTTCCTCTGCTGGATTACTCTCACGGAGCCTGGCTGTGCTGTAGTCTCAGGATTATAAGTAGGGTTAGAAAGTGGCAAACTCACTTCCTTTGCAGCCAACAGGAAACAGGGGCTGTACCTGGATGTGGTGAGACAGGAGAAACCTCAGCAAGCGTTCAGAAGAAAACACTGCAGGGTGTGAACAAGAGTTTTGACTGATAGAGTAGCAGCCAGACTGGGGGGTGGAAGAGGAGGAGTGGGAAGGATGTGTTGACTGAAACCAAGTTAACACTTCAAGGTGGTCTTTTAAGGAGGAAAGCAAAAGTGAATGGAGATGCTGTGGATTTGCTGTGGGTGCCAAAGCACAGCCAGCACCAGAGCCTGCCAAACCATTTGACTGGTGCACATCCCTCTTCATCCACCTCTGCCATATGTGGGCACACAACAGTGGCTTTCAAGGAGCCAACTTCACTCTTATTGCTGGTAATTGCAATTTTTTTTCCAAGAAGTTATTACACCATTAGGTCTTTATTCTGTAAATTCCCACCAATTTTGACACTTGGTGACCAGGTCTTTTGGCTTTCTCATCCCTTATGCAGCAGCTGGGATGGTATGTCCTGCTCAGAATTTGCAGACAGTCAACCTAACCCACACATTTCAGAGCATGGAAAGACCTTCCCAAGCCACCTGAATCTCCTTGGGGGTGTTTTAATGCTCTTTAAAACCATAGATTTAAATCTCACCATCCCACCTGTCCAAAGCAGTTAAACAGCCTTTCTGTCTTTAGTGAATGAGCTTGCAAGGCGTGCTTGTCAGAGAAGCTGTTACATATCACACCTCTGCCTTGAAAACCCCCCAAGCTGCACAGTCAAAAAAACAGGAGGACTGTGCTTGGCTCTGCTATAAACATGCCATGTTTATAAATGGATTTCTCTGTGCCTTGGTTTCCCTTCCAGACATTGAGAGTGATGATAAAGCCATTTTTATTTTTTTTTTTTTCACCCTGGTGTGTTTTGGAGTGTAGAAGCTGAAAAGTTCTTTGTGGTGAATCACATCCTGCACTCGGGTCATAACAACCCCACGCAATGCTACAGGCTTGGGGCAGAGTGGCTGGAAAGCTGCCTGGTGGCAAAGGACCTGGGGGTGTTGGTTGGCAGCTGGCTGAACACCAACCAGCAGTGTGCCCAGGTGGCCAAGAAGGCCACCAGCATCCTGGCATGTAACAGAAAGAGCAGCCAGGAGGACTGCTGCACAGTGATCGTGCCCCTGCACTCAGCACTGGTGAGGCCGTCCCCCAAATACTGTGTTCAGTTTTGGGTCCCTCACTACAAGAAGCACATCAAGGTGCTGGAACATGTCCAAGGAAGGACAATGAAGTTGGTAAAATGTCTAGAGAACAAGTCTTATGAGGAGCAAGTAAGGGAACCGGGGTTGTTTAGCCTGGAGAAAAAGAGGTTGAGGGGAGACCTTGCTCTCTATAGCTCCCTGAAAGGAGGTGCTGGTCTCCTCTCCCAAGTAACGAGCGATAGGAAAAGAAGGAACAGCCTCAAAGTGCACCAGGGGTGGTTTATATTGGACATTAGGAAAAATTCCTTCACTGAAAAGATTGTCAAGCATTGGAACAGGCTGCTCAGGGAGATGGTGGAGTCACCATCCCTGGAGTTATTTTAAAGATATGTAGACGTGGTGTTTAGGGACGTGGTTTAGTGGTGGACTTGGAAGTGCTGGGTTAATGGTTGGACTCAATGATTTTAAAGGTCTTTTCTGAAATAAATGACTGTGAGCCTGTGATATCTGTGTCCTGCATAGCACTCAGTTTCCCAGGTTTGTTGTCACTCTTTTAACCTCCACAACAATAGTCACAGTCACGTAATGCTTTGATTTTTCACAGTGCTTTCCTGTTATATGATAGTTACAGAAGTCCACCAGGCTTTGAAGTCCAGCTGCCCTCACTCCCATGCTGCAGTTGGTGTGCCCAGCCAGACTGACCATGTCAGAATTTTGTACATTTTACCATATCTTCTAATCTGAGTTGCAGTGAGAGGGAGGGCAGGAAGCCTCCCTGGACATGTGTTTCCTGCACCGACTGGGTTTTTCTCTGAGGGGCTGGGCAGGCAGCTCCCTCCTCTCTCACTGCACTCCCATGAGAACCTAGGAGCTGCTGCCCTGGGCTGGAGCAAGGGGCTGTCTCACCCCAGATCCTGCTGCTGACAGAAGCCAGCAGCAAATCCTCAGGGAAATGTGAAAACATCAGGGCTGTAGATTTATCCTTCCCTGCGTCCATCCACCCAGTTTTAGCAGGCAGCCGTTTAGGAATTTTCTGCTGTGGAGGATGCACCTTGTTGTGAACCCAAGATGTGTGGGTCCTCCATGCTGCTTCTTCCTGGACAGAGTCTGGCCATGGGAAGTCTGGTGACTAATACCAGCTTCCTCCAGGGGCAGGTGTAACAAATACATTCCAGGTCATGGAATGCCCTCTTGAATTGTCCTGGCTCCTCTGGGAACGCATCCATTTAGAGCAGCCAGGGATTTGGGCTGCAGCCCTTTTCATTAGGAGTAGAGCTTGCCACCCTTTGTCTTTGCAAGTGAGTGCCCCAGGCAGAGGCTGGTTAAGCCTGATGCAGTTCACAAGCCGCAGGAACATGAAAAGTACCTCTGTTGAAACTTGCTTTAGCCCAATCAGTAATAGGGTCATCTGGGAACGGTGGGATTTATAGTCTTAATCTGAGGACCAGACCAGCTGGTCAATGGGATCACTTCTGGTCTTTAAACCAATGGTAATGAAAAGCTGGGTAACTTTTTTTTTTTTTTTTTAAACAAGATCCACATCTTCTCATCGAATCCCTGGAAGACTTGAGCCAGTCAGTCCAGCAGTAAAGGGCTGTCTTTCCTTGTACAATGTCTTCAGCCCTTTAAGCATTTCACTTTTTCTCCTGACCTTCTCTGCCCTGTCTGCTGGGCTGAAGGTTACACAGCTTATCATCTTCCTTGCCATCAGTAAGGGTTTGTG